CTCCAAACCTCCAAGGCTTGGTCCTTCCTTGAACACTTCCAGGGATGGGGACTCCAAACCTCCCTGGGCAGCCCCATCTAAGACCTGACCATCCTTCCATGAGGAAATTCCTCCTGGAGTCCACCCTGAGCCTTCTCTGGCACAGCCTGAGGGTGTTCCCTCAGCTTGCTGCAGGAAGGAGGAGGATGGCAAGGCTGCAGATGTTGTCATGGATGTTTTATTGCCCACCTGCTGCTCTTGGGTCATCCCCAATCCCTGCTCTTCCCAACCGAGCCTGGTGGGCCTGGTCACATCTCCCATCAGCTCCACAGAGGTGGTCATTGAGTGCTGGCACCTCAGAGGACACAGGGAGCCTGCACCATGCCCAAAAGGGTGTTGGTGTTGTTGTTCCTTTGAATTTTGGGGTCTTCTGTTCCTCCCTCACAGAGACCAGGCACAAAATGAAGGTGCAAAACCTCTGAGACAATAAACCTGGTGGCTTTGGAGTGAAACATCTCATCAGAGACATTTCCACATCCCCGGGACCATGAAGTGCAGGTTGGTGGTGCAAGAAAGAAGTGAACTCCCAAAAAAAGAGCAGGTTTGAGCAATTGTAACATTTATTGGGTGTAAAAAGTGGCAGAACATTATCAAACCACAACACCAGGAGCAGGGCACAGCAGGGCAATCCTGGAGATCTCACATGAGGGAGCAGCGTCCAGGGAACAGGAGACGACATGCTGGGAAGGACCAGAGAGCAGAACCAGGGCTGGAGGAAAGGAGGAGCCATGGAAGACTCAGAATTGGAACTGGCTGGAGTTGTTACTTCTGCTGGCCATAGGGCCAGTAGGAGCTCTGCTTGGTCTGGTGGGACACCACGCTGGGGATGACAATGGGACATTTCTGCTGCGAGGAGCCTCTGCCGCCACCTCCAGAGCTGATGATGATGGTCTGGCCTGAGGAGCCACCGCCGTATCCTCCTCCCATCCCATAGCTGGATCCTCCACTGCAGCATCCAGAGGATCCACCACTGCCTCCACCTCCAATGATGGTCTGCCCTCCTGAGGAGCCACCACCATAACCTCCTCCCATGCCATAGCCTGAAGATCCTCCACCACAGTATCCAGAGGAACCTCCACCTACAATGATGCTCTTTGATCCTGAAGATCCACCATATCCTCCACCCATTCCATAGCTGGA